ACACGCACACAAAGAACCAACCTGGGTTTTATAATAAGTATAACTCGATATGAGTTGTCCCCCTTTCATTCTCGCTATGCCTCTTAATCGTGTTTTCAAATTGATTTCGTGCAAAAACAATTGTATTTTTCCAATTTTTGGCGCTGTCAGAACCACCACAAGGTAATTTTACGCAGTCCTGTGAAGTTTTGTTGAAATCGGTTGAAAAATGTAGGAAATCCGATCCAATATATAAACGTACACACACACACACACACACACAACACACCCAAAAATTTTTTTACAATAAGTAAGATTAAAAAGCTGATATTAGAAAGAAATTGAACACTCTTCATTGTTTTGAATGAACTCTTTCTTGTTTCATAATAGTTTGTTTAACTTCGGGTTTAGGATCAGTTAAGAAAATGTTCGTAATTGTCGAAATGATTTAATTTGGTGTCAAAAACATATACACTGCGAAAGCATATTCACTGATAAAGAACTAACTCATGATCACTGGCTTGCGAGATCAGCACGTTAAATATTACTTTAGTGTTGGCCTGCCAACGTGGATAGCAGTTAACATTGCGACGAGAATTAATTTGCTTTACTTTGTTCATAATCTCTCAAGAACAGTTGCATTTGCCTCATTCCTGATAAAACATTCGCTTGCATTTAACCAGATTCTCGTGAAGAATTGGATTTAAATCCACTTCGTTTCATCGTTTATATTTGTTTTCATTGAAAATACGGCAGAACGAAGACCCGGGGCGCAGAAACCTTTAAATCTGAAGATGCAAGCCGTCTCTTTGTTTAAATGTAAACAAAACCAAATATAACCCGAAAAGAATCGATATACGTGTGCAATCTACAACGACCGCTCTTCGCCCACATTCACAAAAGATGTCAGGAAAACTAAAATCAAATTTTTGCGCGGTTAGACTTTTTCTCGTGTAAAACACGCATGTGCTGACGTGAATTGTAAAGTTTTCCTCAAGAAAAATCGGTTTGATAAATGGTAACTTAGACACTGAAGCCGCAGGGGCGGGAGGGTTTGTTAAGGAAGAAGCACGATACGCCTCGGGTTCAGCGAAGCAATGACGATTGCTATAAATGCGCAAGATTGTTTGCTTGAAACGTAAAATTCAATCGAGTTAGAAGCTGAAAAAGGTTTTCAAATTAAAGAAATGCTGAAAGGTATGCACAGACTTCGGTTTTATGCAGCTTCGATTATCTAAATGCAACTAAGTAAAATATATCTAAATATATCGGTGAATTATTTCGGCCTTGGAATTACAGAATGCTGACAAATGTTAAGTGAACGATAATATATGGAAGCTGCTTCAAAATTAAATGTTTATGGTAAAATTGTGTTTCAAAAGCACTGGATTTTTCCTGGAGATATTGTGCAATAAAGGCCATGAAGAAAGATGAAGTCAAAATAGAAGCCGGTGTTGTGTCCTTTAGATTTTCTACATTTTTATCAATAGTGAAAATAACGAAATAACGGACACTATTTATCAAATTGTCAAAGCAGTTACTAAAAAGAAAACATGATAGTTAAAACAGCAAAGTTATGAGGAAAAAATAAACTATATGAAATCTTTAAATAATAAAGAATCTTGTGCTATGTGCCGTTATTTTTTTTGCCATTTTATCAATAGTGATAATGAAGCAGACACAAAATTGTCGACGCATTTATTAAGATGGTGTTATACTAGAACATACCTATTCTATTATTAATAGACTCTCCCACATATTATAAGTAGTAGCAGTCGCAAGGGAGCTCAGTGTGTTGGTGAGTCAGTCGATGTCGGACATTAAAGTATCAACCACCACAACTAGATTGCTGCGTCATTAACTATTATTTCAAGTTCCTAACGTTTTGTACGTCGAACCTTTTTTAGGAGCGACTTAGAAAAATACAAGCCTCCACTGTGAAACTACTCTACAACAGATGGCTAGACTAGTAAAAATATAAGGTTTAAAGCAATGCCTTGTTAAATCCCCAAATAAAGAACTTGTTTGCCGTATGTTTTACTGTGTGTTCGTCCATAGAGAAATGACGGAAACACAACGTTGAAACATTGTCATTATTAATGACCAATCCGAAACAGGTTTATAGTAAGAAGCACTGAACTTACTGCTGCAGGGTTTAGTGCGCCCATTTTCTTGTCTTCTTTTAAGTAAAGACGATTTCTAAGAAGATGATAGATTCAAATTCATATTTTGAAAAAAAAAAAAAAAAAAATGGTCGATTTACACTCCAGTTATTAATGCGTATTTATCGCACTGATTGAACCGAAATGTCGAACTCCATCTGACCTTAATAGACTCTACGGATATTTCTTTCGTGAGAAAATTTAACGATTATTTTAACCGAGAAGAGCATTACTTATTCTTTGATTATTCTCAATGATAAATATTTATTTGATCGCCCTCACTCTCTGCACACACACACACACACATATATATATATATATATATATATATATATATATATATATATATGTGTGTGTGTGTGAAGACCACATTGAAGTATGAAACTAAGTCACCATACAATGTATATTACTATTTCTTTTGACTGTATTTGCATCACTTCTGTCTATCTGTCTCTCATAAATTAATTGATTTAAAATATGGTTTTTTTCGCTACACAGTTCTAACCATGTTTCAAAAATGGAAGCTAAAAGCCTCGAATTTAATTTTGTGATTAAATTAAAGACATTAGTTCCATTTCATCCTCAAGCGAATTTTGGAGTAACTTTTTAAAATTACTGGGTTTTAAATACACAGCTAAAACAAAATTCATGTTTCCAAGGTTACAGATAAATCTATTTTTCTAGATAGGGGTGACTGGGTTTTATCTATAAGAACACCGGATTATATATCTTGCTGTTCTTTCTTTATATATATATAAATATATATATATATATATATATTATTTACATTATTCGGACTATTGTCCTCATATTTGTCGCCATATTTATCACAACGTTTCGACCGTGGTACGCTCCGGCCTTCTTCAGGTGGTTGGAATGTCGAACTGAACCCTTTATTTCGCTCACTGGGGTAGTCTGTTCTAGTTCCACGTGCCATGTTTGATGGATGTCAGTTATCAGTTATCTCCTGTTAATTTTCTGTCTGAAAGTTCTCCACTGCCTTAACCGGGTATTGAACTCTCACTCTTTGGGTCCTGTCACTGGATCTAACCAACGTGCCATGTGTCCTTGAGGACATCTAGGTATGAATTTCTGGGTATTATAAACCTAATGTAGCAACCATTTTTACCGGTGCTCCTATTGCAATTTTGCTGTTATCATTCCATGTTTTTAACAGAGCTCATATTGCAACTTTGTTGTTATCATTGCTTTTCTCTGGTACTCCTTATTACTGGTTCCCATATTGTATTTATTTCTATGCTTGGTCGGCTCAGGAGATTTTTGTGGTCTAGCATATATGCTGATTCCTTAAGTTTACGAATTTTCCAATGGTGTTCCTTGACTATATATATATATATATATAGATGAAATAAAGGACTCTTTTATAGGTAAGAAAAGGAATATATGTAACAGCAGGTTACTCGTTTTTTTGAGCACACACAACTACCAAGACGGCTAACAAGTGCCTGTTGCAGACACCTTCGCAGGCAATTGCTTATTCAGCACCAAAACTATCCTGAGCAGACTGTAGTTATAGTTCCAGGAAAAGAACGTACCATTTACCGTGATCAGTAGTGAAAAAAAAAAGGCTAGTACGTTCAGACCCTCGGTCACGATGATTTTTTACGACGGCTGTCTAATCAGTTCTGTCTACCAAATGTCACTCACAAGACTTGGGTATAGTTTTCAAGCACTTTCCAAATGTGCCACATGCTGGGAATCCATCCCCACGCACCGATAACGTCAAGATAAATAATAATAATAATAATAATAACAACAAAAATCCTTTAATTTTTACGTTGCTTTATTTAATCTCTCTTGCTGGCTAATGATAATCTTAGAGCTGGCAGATTTTAAATTTTATGAAAATCCCTTTCTAAAAGAATTGAACGCCATGCACTAATCGGTTACTTTCAACATTCTAGCTTCGAAGGAGTTAATTAAACCCCCAAACGTATGAAACTTACTAATTAAATCCCGAGGGGTGCTATAAACTTTTGACTTAGAGTGCACTTATGAATAAGCACTTCTGTCGAGGATCAATGATATATCTGTACGCTCTTCCTCTGTGTATTTAAAAGTGAATTTTGCAACCGCGCTCATTCCGAAGAACACTGGTGTAATGGATGTAGTGATTGCCCGGTTACTTGGAGATTGGATGTTCTCAACGATGATGTATTCACTTATTTTGTTTCTGTCAGTTTCTTTCTGGTTGGTTGATTTTCTTTAGCTTCATATCAACTTCTTTAATGCCGAAATCTAAATATTTTGAACACAATTTTATGGCTTCAACTACAGATAAAATGTATGGTTGGTAATTCTACTATAAAACGTATTGAAGGTAATTTTACTGTAACAATGTAGCTTTATATTTACATAGTTTTGTTTGTTGGTGGAGTCACTATTTTCCCATAACTGGGACCCTAACAGGTGCTACCACACCGTGTCATCGAGGACCTGGGGATGACAACACTTAAGAGGTGGTTTCACACTCCTCAAAACCTCCAGTCTTCCGATCAGAGACCTTGCTTTCGGATGTAGTTTATCTTCATACCCAGAACTAGCTAGCTTTCTTACAACAAAAATGTTACCGACAAAATATATACAAGAACACGTTCTGTATTAGATTAAGGCTTTGTTCTGCAAGGAATTGCAACCGAAAATAGTGCACTGGGTCTGGCGTTGGGAAAGACAGCAAAGATAAAAAAAAATCCGAGCAGGAATCACGGAAAATGTCAGAGATTAAGTCAAACCGAATAAAGCGATTTTAGAAAGATAGCTTTTATAATTTTGATGAGACTATAACAGTTTGAAGATTCTGACAATGAAAAAAGATTCCTAACTCCAACTTGGGAGTAGATGGAATTTCTTTCATTCTTATTCTTGTTTTCTCTTTGCTATTCTTATCTTTTTCTCCTTTTTTTTGTTTTTTTCTTCTTTTTGCTTTCCTGTTTCATTCTTTTATCCTTCTTTTCGATTCTTTTATTGTCTGTTCGTTTCTTTTTCTCCTTATTCTTGTTTTGTTTCCGTCAGTCGTATTCGTCTGCTTCTTTCATTTTTCTGTTTCTTTTTTTTTTTGCTTCTTTTCACTTTTCCTTCATCTTTTGCCTTTTTCATTCTTTTGTTTCTTTCATTGTTATTTCTTTTATTCTTCTTTGCGACTCTTTCATAGTCTGTTTCCATTTTCTTCATTCTTTTTTTGTTTGTTTCCGTCATTCTTATTTCTATGTTGCTTTCATTTTTCTGTTTCCTTTCTTCTTTGCTTCCTTTTACTTTTCATTCATTTTTTTGCCTCTTTCATTCTTTTGTTTCTTTCATTATTATTTCTTTTATTCTTCTTTTCGATTCTTCTCCAACTGTTGTCATTCTTACACTTCTTTCACTAAGCGTTCCTCTTATTTGCTGCTTCATTCCTTTATTTCTTCATTTCTTTTATCCGAATTCTTTCTCAAGTATATTAGCGTCTAGTTATGCAAACCACCCTCACCCGGAATTTAAAGTTTGTCGATATCCGTTACACTACTTGGCAGCCCCAATTACACTCGAGATGCTTTCAATCGCATATCTTCTAGACCAGTGTTTCCCTACCTGTTGTTTTTTACCCATGGACCCACTTTTACTCTTAATTTTTTTTTGTGGGCCTTATAAACATTCGATGGAAAAGAAGCTTATTTTATCTTTTACTGAGAAGTTTAGGAATTGTATTATAGAAGTAGTAAATTTATATGCTTTATTTTGAAGTAAAAGTAATTTAATGAAAATAAACTTGTATTTAACAATTAAGTTCTATGGAACATTTATGTACACTAGAAAAATAACTCATCAATTAGTTACGTGCTATGCGTGATACACGCATAGGCGATCATCTATCTTTCGATACATGACGGACGAGGCAGTTTTTTCCCCTCGCTGTAAGTTGTCATTTCTTCCTGCGGTATTTAGCTGGGAGGAGAAGAAGAGGATTCATACCTTTCCCAAGTGTAATAGCACGTAAATAAATGTAATGGATCTGACTGGAATTCGAACTCGGCTCTCCGATTTCTCAGCCCGAGCCGCTATTCTTAACTCATAATAAAACACTTTAAAATTTTTACATCCCGTAGAGTAATAGGGTCACTAATTTACATCGTTTGATCTTTAGTATTTTAATGGCGTAGATTATTGTAAAAATTCCAGTTTTCAGTCGTGAGAACTGTTCCAAAGTTAAATTGCTCTATGGACCATTAAAATATTACTGCTATTTTTTTGTGTGGATCTTCAGTAATGTTACATGGATCCTCATGGTCCATATGGACCCCGGTTGAGAAACATTTTTCTAAAAGATGCCAATATATTACATAAAAAAAAAATCAACTACTTTTATATTGTCATATATGTACAAGTGTTGTTGGGGGAGATATCCAGTCATTTTTTTATTAATAAAATATATTACCCTAATTTGAGTAACGTCACCTTATTCACAGTCAAAATATTCCCCTGGGGATCTTACAGTTATCCCACCGTGCTTGCCATTTTTCAAAACAGTATGAAAAATCTTACTTTGTAATTGTCATAAGTTGTTCTGTCTCACTCTCTTTAATCTCGCCCACGGTATGGAATTGCCTCACTTTCAACGAGTCTCATACAGCCAAATCTGTGTGATGCGATAATTTGCCCAAATCCTTGCATTAAGCATCAGTGACCTACTCACTGTGTCATTGTCAATATAACACACACACACACACACACACACACACACACACACACACACACTACGAAATGGATAATTATTTAAAGAAATTTTCTGTTTATACGTTATTTTTATAGATACAAATATCTAAGTAAATGCTCTGTTTATAATAAACAATATTAACAACATTTACCGGCCTGAATGTCCGAGAAATTTGCATAGAACATATGTATCCTCCGACAGGAATCGAACCTGTATTCTACGCAGAACCGTCACATACCCTGACGTGCTATACCATTTAGCTACAGAGGAGCGTCTTGGTTAGCAAGATTAGTTTTACTGTTTTACAGAGCATTTACTTAAATATTTGTATCTATAAAAATAACGTATAAACAGAAAATGTCTTTTATATAATTATACACACACACACACACATTATATATATATAATGTGTGTGTATGTGTGTATAATTATATAAAAGTCATTTTCTGTTTATACGTTTATATATATATATATATATATATATATATATATATAAGTCACGGAAAAGTGTATGTACATGGATGCGCAGTAAGGTCCATTTCGTCTAGTCTTTAAAAGGACTCTTTTTAATATCCAGAAAAGGAAAGGCGCATGTGCAAGAAATTAACTACTCTCAAAATACTCTCTACTACCAGCCCCTAGTTCAAATCCCCGAGATAAACTTGATCAATATAGACGCAAACCCTTGCGAGAAAGTATTTCCAAAAGATACTTGCCAGGGTTTGAGAGTGTGCCGATCAAATTTATCTCAAAAGAGAAAGAGAAATCGGCTTAAAATTTCTAATTATATTACATTTATAAAATGTTACGAACCAGAAATTTTAGATTTACATATATAGTTATAAATTTTTTGTGCATGTCATTCCTGTATTTAACAGGGAACTACTTTAAGGCATTTGAATATGCATAACTTTCGTTGTGAGTGGGTGTGCATTTACAAAAATATCTTTCGTTAAAATTAACGGGAGAATATCTAAATAGCTTTTATCTCGGCACTATGTTCACGTCACAAACGAAAGTCGCACGCGTGCAAACGAGATTTGATCGCGTGCAGATTTACTAGCGAATGAACTTATAGACGGAAGTTCAGAGATGTTTAAATAGACGAAATGGAATGGCCAAAGGAAAATGAAGAGGAAAAAATAAAAAATATCAAGCCTTACAACAACGAATGCACTTTTTTTTTTCAGACATACAGTACCAAACAAATATTTTAAAATTGAATTATATTTTGCTGACATCCTAACTGTCAAAAGTACTAGGTTTACTACAAGCAGATCGACACTACAGCCAAGGAACAGATTGTAGAATCTATGCCCTGTGATTGGCGGTTGTCGACACTGAAATTTGGTATAGCGTGTCGAGTTCAAATAGAAACTGAGGCTCTTCTGTGAGTTACCCCACTACGCTACGCCCAAAACGCCTGTTGGGGGGGGTGCTCTTTAAGTCTATAAAAAGACAATTATATTTTCTCTCTTCCTCTTTTTAACTCTTACTTCCAGATGTAGTCGACGTAGATAAAGAAGGCTGCCGACAGGGCGCGTTCGCTTCCTTGTTCCTCTGTTGACTTTTGAACTCTCTTACTCGCGTGTCTATCACACACGCTTATTACACATACACGCACACACACATATATATATATATATATATATATATATATATATTAGTCAAACCTAGTGAGCCAGACAAACCTCGACAGACTTTCATGTTTCTAGCTCTTTCTTTTTTTAAAACCTTTTTTCCCTGGAGATTGATTTGATTATTGGCAAATCAAAAATTCGAGGGTTTTTCGAAACGAGTATAGTTATATATATATATATATATATATATATATATATATATATATATATATATATGAGGAACTCCTGAAAAGTCCTCAGCCCGACCACGAAGTGATTTTTACCCCAAATTGTAATGTTTGGTCAGCTGGTTACATTTTTATATCAAGCTGGTTAGAAATTTTATATTAAATTAAATGCATACAGAAAACAGCAAAAATTATCTCATCCTTTTACAATTGTGCTTGTGCGTCCTTTCGTTAGTTAGCACGACCGTTACGTCCTGCCAATGTCTCATAAATAATGATCTATTCAGTTTTGATCGCTTGAAAAATGGGGAAAAGACGCTACTTGGTTTCAATTAAAAAAAAATCAAAGAAAGTAAGAAGGGAAGATGGAAGTGATTAACGTCTCCTGCCAATATCTCCTAAATAATGTCTACGGCACCTCGATGTGGTGTAATGGTTAGCATGCTTGTCCCGCTAGAACAATTACGACTGAGTAGTGAGTTCGATCCTCACTGAGTATTCCATACCTTCGGCTGTGTGCCACATATAAGCTACACTTTGAAAATCACCTTAAATAATGGCTATCCCGTTTCATCAAAACCCATATCAGCGATGCTATTTGGGTTCAGTGTGTAAATGAATAAAGGGAAGAGAGAAAAGCAATATAGAAGTGTTTAACTTCTGTGAATGTAAAAAAGTTATTAATTTCAAATCTTTTCATTTGTACCCCCTTACTTCTTAAAATAACGACCAGCATTCGTATTTATGATTGTATTTGTAATATTTTGTTCAAATTGTTGACAGGGGAATTCATACAGATATTTTATAGTCGTAGAACTTACCATGAGCTTACTCAATTATTAACTTAAGAATTAAGATTCATCAGAAATACCAAATAGGAAAACCATGAAAATTTCCCGGGTCTTCCTAGCTAACTATTATTCATGCCTATATAATAAAATAAGATATGGCAAAATCATCTAGTCTCTATTTAAGAGTACTGAGAATTTGTAGTCCCCAAAATTTGCACGATGAAGAGATATATATTGAAAATAATTTTAAATGCATTCAATGTTCTTCATAGTTCATATACATGTTGAGAGAAATGTCTAAAAAATCCACAATAATAATAATAATAATAATAATAATTGGATGCGTATAGCGCAGGCTGTACCGGAAGTAGGTAGAAAATATCACCCATATCATGTGCGCTTTTGGAATGCTTGTGCTGAAAGCATACAACCGTTACTTCCCATCTGCATAGGAAGTATAGACTTGAAGCCGACGAGAAATGGTACCGCCACATGCCAGAGAAGGTGATCGAAATCGACCAAGTCGAGATCTTGTAGTATTTTAACATCCAAACAGACCGCTTGAGACCACCAAACCAAACATCACCGTCATTGGCAAAATACAAGAAAATGTTTCCTCATCGACGTGGCTGTTTCTGGTGACCATAATATAAAATTCATAGAAATTGACAAGTTTAAAAAATGCCCTGAACTGAGAAGTGAAATTGCCAGAATGTGGGGCGTTCCGATCACTATTGTCCCAGGTAAAACACCCCAGCCCTACCACTTTTCTTTCGACAACATTCTTGGTACTAGTACAAACGTCTGCAGCTCATGTTTCCTTTGGAACGTTCTCCAGGCATCCTAGCTCTCTGTGAAACTAATCTAAACTCCTCTGTCAGTGACTTGCTGGCCATCTTCTCTTTCGAAAGGACTCTACTTTCATCATGCATGGCTTTCCTGTCTGTTTTTCAACATTTCTCAGTGGTAAGGCAACGGTTTCTTAAGTCTCCGGATTGCTTTTATATGTGTTTCCGGTTCTAATATTTTTTGTCTTTCGCACTCTCCCACCGTGGAACTATCTTCCGTTTTCTTGCTTTCCTGCCACTTATAGTCTTCAAAAATTTAAATCCAATGCCAATCGCCATCTTCTGTCTTCCTGAATCCTATTCTTTTATTG